GTTGAACTAAAGACTTCTAGCATGGAAGACGAGCGTGTTAGGGTTAGCTCACCGTTGCAATGTGATTGTTTTAAACGCTGAAATTCACCGTCTCTACATGCGCGCAATTTTACATCAGGCATCCATAAATCAAAAATGGAACTGGAGTTCAAGGGCGGTATAATTAGCCCCGCAAACCCTCCAACGCTGAACTTACCGGATTCGATAACCTAGAGAGCATAAATCCGTGCAAACCATTTCCCCACCCTTCGACGATAAAAAAGGTCACTCTATTCCTAATGAAATGAGAGGGTTCGTAAGGTGGCCTGACTGGCAATGGATATCCCCCGGGAAAATGCATAAGGCCCAATTGATTTGGACAACTACCTTGGAAGAGACTCGATTAACCACACATAACTCACAAGGCATCTGGTTGTCTGTCTTCCATGTTTGGCTGTGACCCCACCATCAGAATTCCCTTCCAAAATGACCTTACATCAAAGTGGACAATAAAATGCGCAAAATAAATGCGTAATAAATTTGCCCGACGAATAAAATCCATTACCACGTGCGTTTGGCCTAGTGACCCAATATAAGTCAAGTGGAAACATACGTTAACTTTTGCGTGACCGCCGCCAGCCAATTCATTTGACATTTATGGAACTCGAATTAATGTGCTGTGCATTGGTGGAATGGACAGAAAAGGTAATGGGGATTCGGATTCAGGTGAATTCATGTGTGAATGTACAGAAGGTGGTTGAATCGCACTGCCATGAAAATGGTACTATTGTGGTTTTTGTTCGACCAAGGGGGTTGGTTTTATTGATGGTAGTTTGAGGACACTCGGTGATTTTCAGCTAAGATTTCCTTTTGTCAGCGAAGCCAATCTGTTCTGAAAGAACCGCGAAGTACTCTACAGCGATCACTGCATACCACTTTTTTTATGATGACAAAAGTATCATCTATGTATCGCATCGGGAATTACAATCCGTTCTAGTTTTCGTAATAAATCCGGAAATCGGTGTTCCTCGTAATTGTTCATAGTACTCTCCGTTGAACTCAACATATGTGATCACACATAAGTGAGCAATTTGTCCAGTTTTTCGGCAACCTTGTGAATAGTTTCCTTTTTGAAAATTACTGCGATATCTCGAATATCTTACCAACGGACACATGGGGCTGACTGTGCAGCAGATTTAGTTAAAGAACTTCATAAACGAGAGTTTCAGTCGAGTCTCCCGTGAAAACCAAATTGCTTTGCAAATGAGTTTATCTCTCGAAAACAGTCCTATTTGGGTTCAAGTGGATCATAAGGTTGAGGGAAACTCGGGGACAGCAACCTTGTGAAAATGGGTAGTTTTTATTTGGGCGACCTTTCACTTTTAACACAAAAGCTTCATTGTTACAAGCTATATTGCATGGTTTCCTATGCGTCACTCATGGGGCTTTCATCAAACCCACCCTGCTCGCATAAGAAATCACGATTATTTCATTCAAGTTGTTGTACGATTTAACGATTGATTCCGACAGGTAAAACACCAAGCTAGCGAACATCGCCACAAACCATAGTTGAAGCACCAAAGGCGTAAAGAAATGGCTTAAGTTGGATAAAACAAGGTGCTCAGATGTGCTGCTAATTAAGTGTGGGTAAATCGTGGGACATTGCAAGCTGTCTTGTGAATGTACTTATTCTGCTGGTAGAGTACTCTCTCGCTAAGAAGATGCCCTGGGTGGAGATGACGGTTCCAAACTACTCGATTGTGTACTGGTGACTAGCTGCACCTGTACTACGTGGTTTTGCACTGAACTAATGAAACTTGGTTGGTATCCCTCAGCAGATGTTTTGAGGTAGGACAGGAATGTTCCAAAGTGAGTGCCTGTCATACGCAGTATGGCGCAAATAATTTATCAAATTCTTCAGCTCCTGACATGTAAATCATAAAAATTGGTGGGTTTCTCATGCAGCTAAATTTCAGTAAGACCTACGATGAAGGTGTATTTAGAACGAGAAAATTGAGAACAGTGAGGCCTACTGGGCATTTGAGAAGTTTCCCCGCATCGCATGTACAATACTTCCAGTGATTGATTCATCTGTATGTTCCAACCAATGACGCCATGTACTCATCTGTGCGTAAGGATCCGGTCAAGTTAAGCCGATATGAGTTCACCGATCAGTGTATCATCGGTGCCCACAGAGTGACTATTTTGAAGTGAACTGTCAGCTATAACACAGTAACGTCTGTGGGCTCTTTGTAAAAGCCAGAATGGGCTCCTTATTGGGTCTGGAACCTTCGTTGTCTTGAAGAAGGACTGAGGTGAAACGAACTTCCGTTTTTTCAAAAATCGATGCAGAGATTTTCTCGCAGATGGCATGGTGCACCATAAATTTTCTATATTCACCAATTACGTTCATCTGAAGAGTAGTAACAAGGCGATTCCAAGAATAACGGGGTTCGCAACTGTAACATTTTCGTCCAGTTTAAATGGGGAAGTTTGTACCACTATACCGGGTACTTCTTACAAGAAGCCGAGTGCTCATTTTCAGGGTGAACTTTTGTTTGGCTGCTTGAAAAGTTCTTGTTACTTCCAATCCTGCTTCTTCCTTAGACAATCATCTGAGACATTGAAAGGTCGCTCAGAACCCGAGGATTTTGAGTTACATCGTCTGGACGGTCGTGTATAACTGCTGCAGTTTCCTGCCACTCCACGTTTTCCCTTGCAGACTGCTCCGTTATGCGTATGTGGGCACATGGTATTTTACTCTAATTTATGATTTAAAAATCAGAAACTTTGAATATCTCGGATTTTAACTCGGGTATTTTGCCATCCCAGGGCTTTCGAACAACTCGACTATGGCCACCTGAGCAGAACGAAGCCCGTGTGAGCACAGTTCACTTAGTCTAAAAATCATCTCGTAATAGAACTTGTCTGATGGCATCCAGAATGCATCAGTCGACCGAACTAGTGTCTGCTTTTATCAGAGTTTGCCCCGTTTAGTTGGTGCTTGATTTGAGCTCTACAGCATGTCTGTTAAATACTGATCTCTCTTCAATGTGGCCTTCTTGAGCCAGACAAATTCCATTCGTGACTATTGAAGGATGGTTTATTCAGATTATTTTGACAAAAGCTCTTCTAAATCGTACTCGTTCTCGCCCGAAATTAAATGACAGATTAATCTTTCACAAATGAAAAAGTAGACGCACACAGCGTTCTCTTTAGCGCGACCTTGGTACTGAGGTGTACTCACAACTGTTTGCTTGCGCTAGCGTATAAAGTGTTTTCCCTAGCAACCTAATTCGGGTAGCTACAACTTATGGGTTCCCAAACTCACTCCATTATGATATCTATGCATGTTGTCCAGCGAATTAAGGAAAATCCAGTCAAATTTCGGATTTTTCTCGAACTTGACCAATAATGATCTTTCAGCTGTAACGCTATTTTGATGCTGGCTAGTTGCAATGTTATCCAAAGAAAGCACGAGAACCGAGCTACTGTCCGGTTGCCCAAGCTCAGTCGATATGCAGAGGTTGGGTTCAAACCACGGACTCAACCACTGAGCCACGCCTAAATCTTGGACTATACTACGGCATGCAGTACGCAAAAAGAATGCGGTATCTTTCCTTATCTTCCACAGGAAAGGAGCACTCAAATTATCATGTGTTCGTGCCTAAGCGATATTTCCCCGATATCCCGAGTGTATGAACAGATCACTCGGTTAAACGGGTGATATCCAGTTTTCTTGATAATAAATGCAGAGGCGGATAAGGTGTACCAAGTCGCATACATAAAAATTGAAAGATGAACAAGCGATATGTGTCAGTTACAAACTCACATTGGTTCCCTGTGTCTTGCAATACCGTGGCACTTGATGCAGTTAACAGTTCCCTTTTTCCTGCATAAGGATAAGCCAATTGCTGAGCAAGCGATGAAAATTCAACCTTATCAGTTTGTGTCAATATACTTCTCATGACTGTTGGCGATTCTGTTTCTGAAGAAATTATATTGACTATCCATTTAGTTTTGGGATTAAGGGTGATGTTCTCGTTCTTAACAAAATAAAGCTACTCTGTCTTCACAGAGGTTTCTTGTGTGTATCAAATAGGCTGGCCATCACAATGTCAACCGGAATAGCTGACTCCCATTTCCAACAATTCTGGACTCGGACATTCATTTGAAACAGAGGTAATCACACTACTGCTGAGTAGTTCGTGGTTAAGTTTTCAACCATCAGTCGGGATGTCGCGGGTTCGAAGCTCTCTGAGCCTCGCGAGATGAGCGCTATTTATGATTCCCAATAAGGATGAAATATCTGAGTAATTTTTCTCGATCTTTCACTAACAGGACATGCACTCATCTACTGCACGAACGGCACTCGTATGAGCAACACTCGTTTATAGTGATAGAAGCGGAAAATGGGTGCAAACAGGTGAGACTATTACCTAAATTCATTCCCTGGAGAAACCTCTATTCGCATATGACATACACGCTTGCGATCTGGATCATCTCAACTACACTTTCCAATATTGTGGATGGTATTCACAATAAACAACCATGTTTCTCCATGATTGCTATTAGGTTAATCCATATTCCAGACTACTGACAGGTCAGTGGTGGTCACGTGACTGCCTTAGTATTGTGTGCACTATCCTCAATCTCTTCGTCCAAGAGAGACACAAATCTGGCAGAGTTGGTCACACTTCAGAACCGTTTTCAACGAATATAGACAAATTTTTTCCTGATGAATATTGTAAGAGATTACTGTATCTCATCAATGGGTGGTCCAAATTCCCTTACATTAAGCGTTCTCAAGCCTTGCTCACGATTCCGGGATGAGCGCCGTCAGGCACACAGTGACACACAGTGACCGTCCCGGAGGAAATAAAGCTTGGTTAAAATCTTGTCCGCTTCATTTATGCAGCTTCAACCTAAATAAACGTTACTTCCAATTCAAGTTTTTTCGCCATCTGGGCTTTTAGAATCGTCAGCCCGGCTAGTGCTGCGTCAGACAGAAGCCAAGTTTTGCCGTTGACAAATGCGTTTTAGTCAAATAGAATATTCATAGACTAGTACAGCTAGAATTTTGTGCTTAAGAAGTGAACAACAGATGCACACAATGGAAAAATAGTGGGGTGAGAGAGGGGGAGTTGTGGTCAGAAGTTGAATAGAAGCGGAACGTTTTCGCCAACGGTGATGTCCCAAAGGACATTGAATATTCAGCGTGTACATTTGTGGCATGGGGCAGGACTGGAAAACAGCCGATATAGCATTTTGATACAGTCGGATCGGCAGAAAGTACGTCTTGAATTTTCAGAGGAACCTTCGTCGGAACAAGGCACCAGACACAAGAAGACCGACGGGTGTCCACATAGCCTTCAAGTCAAATTTCATTTTGAGTTTGAAAAATTCATTTAAAGTGGAATCCATACCGAGGGAAAATATCATCAGTCGTGATGATAGCTTATGTCATAGATGTCCGATTTGGTAGAAAAAACAAGTAGGCAGGAAAGGAGATATCGATAAAGTGGTTTCATACATGATATTGAAAATTTCAGGAACTTCATTGGTGTTAGTTTATTCTTGCATAGAGATGGGTTCGCATTTTAGAGAAATAAATTACTGATAAAACAATGAAAACCTGTGAAAATCATCACGAAGCAAACAATGAGGGGATGACTGAAAAAATAAACTGGATGACATCCAACTTCGATAAAAACCCATGTGCAGTTTTTGTTTTTGATTTTTTTAAACGTATACTGATTATGGTAATATCAATAATCACGCTCTGCCAGGTTGATTCGAAGTTGCTGATTCCCTTTCATCCGATGTTATCAAACAAAAATGAATGACCCAGTCCCACGGCCACAGGTACAAGCTCGCTGAGGAATACTGAGCATACGGAATTTGCCATGGCAATCCGCTGTCCTCAGAGCTCTCCAACGAGTCTCAATATTAAGTAATCCGGTACCAGAACACCGAAATCCAAGCTCTTCTCGCATGTAACTTGGGTAACACGTGACACATATCTGCTGTCCTTGTTGCAAAAGAGCCGAGTGGGTTGTCCAAGCTTGTCTCCAATCCTCAGAAGTTCCAAATTCCGCTGGATCATCGTTTCCGAATCTACTTGATCTAGTAGATCTCCGCACACGTCTGTGGGCTGCCGGCATATACGGATTACGGTTAAATGTGTATATGTCTTCTGGAGTTCTGCCGTTCCGAGAAGGCCATCCTTGGTTTCGTCGACCCCAAGCGTAGTCATTCGGTCGTTGGTCGTACAATCGACTCGGTCTGTTGTAGTGCCAGAGGATATTGTGCATTTGACAAGCCGGATTTGTGTGTGTGATTTCGTACACCGCGCAGTAGCTGTCAATGCAAAGAAAAGATTTCAGATGAATAACTACTGAGGAATGAATTATTATAGTCATTCTAATTGAATATGCAGTTTGCCATTTCCAAAACGAGTCTGTCGGCTAATTACGATAGTCCAGTTGATCGCATTTATGGATTAGTTTCTTTACATCCAGAGCATACATTATTCTTCCGGTTATATATTTTACTATGGAAATAGTAATCAACCATAAGTGACTGATCAGTCGGTGACGTTTGTCGTTTTAATTTCACCCGAACAGCTGACATCAAATCCAACACCATCCTTCTCAACTTCACTCAGCTAAGCTTCCGAAATTGGAGTTTTATTAGAGTTCTCGTCCAGTCAGGCTCGTGTATTCTGGGTCCCAATTGCCTTCGCTTGGAACAGTTCTTCCCCAGCCCGAACTCGAATAGGCGGACATGTGGTGTATGAGGACTTCAAGATGAGAGGGATGGGAGATAGATTACAATAGCCCCTGGCCGAAATCGCCCTGAGTGCGTTACTTAGTTGGATCGAGGTGAGATTTATGACAAAATAAATGTGACCCTGGATCCACCTCGTGAAAGTCATTCACATTTAAACTGATTCCTTTCGCCGAAATTCACTGGTATCAAGTAGGCGTTCCAGGACATATTTACGTGATCGCATGGTGACCAAATAGAAATATAATATCTGAACATATCCAAATAAGGGAACCGGGTAGCTGGACTATTTTATTACCACCATCCTTGTAAGCTGTAGAGGGGTTGACACGAGTAGATAGCTCAAGAATGACAACTTTTTTAAATAAGCTTGCATGTTGAATCAACAAATGCGATTAAAATTAATTTGCTGGGAGCCAGAAACAGAAGTAGCTTAACCATTTCAGGCATTTCTGGAAAAAATCTGCTGTAAACGAAGAGCGGTAGGTCAAGTTTCAGCTCCTGGATTTAGCAAAACAATAAGGATTGTTTGAGCACTTTGAGATAAAAATGATAGAAACAAATGTCCACAGTCATATTAGATCCCTTGTGTTCTCGTCTCCCTCTATATTTTCCAGTATGGCTTGATTACCAGAGACCGCTTGCTGATAACAGAGCCGACGTTATCACCTGCCTGTCGGATACGGTGGAAGCAGTACCCACAGCAATCTACGAAGCCACATTTGCGAAAGCCTTTAGTCTATAAGCAGATAACAAAATGGAAGCATTATTTAATAAAATGCCATATCTTATTCGTCATCAGAGCTTTTTAGGAATTCCCGATATAGTATAAACGAACCTGTGCTTTATGACTAAAAAACCAATGCTACTCTGATATGACCTTGTCCAATGTCATGAAATGCCTTCAAGATGAACATGTGAATTTTGTTGTACACCAATTAGGACGTCTTGAATTTCCATGTGGGTATCTCTGTTTTAGCATTTTTTCTGTTTTCAAGACAAATTCAACCACATGATGACATTTTGCACTTTTAATGAAATTATTCATCCAATGTGAAGAGTGCTGTGATTGGGTCTCGACCTTTAACTTAAAATACACCATCACTATCATAAGATTTTTACAGATGAAAACAATCATATATTTGTCCAACTGCGCTTTTTATGAACATCAAGACTTTACTAAAATCCAACAATAAACTGGAATCTATGCCGGAATGTGAGTTAGCCTTCCCATAATTCGGAATGTCCCTCGCAGTCTGTCAAGAGTTGAATTTAGGGAATCCTGCTGCAGCTTGCTTCCGGGTTATATCTATTTTTTGGAAGTGTAACCTACCTGTCATCATAGAATCAGTCTATTTAAGGACGGCTTGTGTGGTTTGCTAAAAGCGGTTCGGTTACTCCTCATACTCAAGCCTGTCTGGCTAAGACACTTTGTCAAACAGCTTGACCTCTCCCGCCACTTTGTAGTCCCGGTTGTCAGTCTAAAGGCCTTCTGCTAACAGGATGCTGAATATGGATTTACGTTGCATCCAACCCCTTCATCCTGTGTCCACCATTCACTTACACAGAGCTGTTTCTCGTCGCAGACGATCAAGTGCATCCGGACGCTTAAGCTTGAAGCTCCCAGAAAAAATGCTATTGCTTGGTTTCATTTACTTCTGATTGAGATATTTCTGATGCACATTCGGATGGGGGAGTTCATTGATAGCGGAAGTCGTACGTACAAACAGTATATAACTTTTGCTAAAATGTACAGTTCCAGATTAACCAACAGACTTCCCTGCACGAGAGTTGGGCATATGTTTACCGTTTCAGGTTTCCTTCAGCCGAAAGAGCTAGAAGGACTGTGAAGCTATCTCATTCTTGTTCGGAATCATCCGCGGTGGGCATTGCACGAAGCCACATAATGATTCGACTCTTGAAGGAGGAAATTTCAACTGAAATTTCAAGCCCCCCGGCGATGCTAACAGAATGTACCTAAGTTGCTGAGATGTGAACAAATCCGACGAGTTTCATGGGTCCTTCATCCGTAAATTCTTCACCCGAGGATTAAGTTAGCATTTGACGAGTAATGCAGCTTGCGTGATTACAGGATGAGTGGCGCTTTTTTGATGCTTGGGTGCCAGTGAATCGTACTGTTCGTGCTCAAACGTTGTAGTTATAATCCACCAGTCCGGAAGTCGCGAATTCGAATACCACCGAATCTTCGTGAGACTCGTACTGGTGTTGATGCTCAATAAGTTGAAAACAGCTGCATAGTGCTTCTCAGGTTTTCAGCAACAGCTGACTTAATTTGTAGATGCGACCTTGATTGAAACTTCAAGATCACTCAAGACCATACAGTTTGCGTTTGGAACGGTCGCACAAACGGATTCAGGTTTCCAGCTTTGATAGTTTAAATAAGCAGAGAATTTACAGGCAAAACTCATGAGATCACACAACACATCATGTGGTAGTTGGTAGTGTATGCTTTAAAAACATTTGTCAACGTAGGTAGCTGTCAGGTGTGTAGCACTTTTGTCCTCATCTGTCGTTTGAAAAGAGTCCATCCTTTCCCTTGTTGGCTCAGTCTGAACATCGCAGAAGACGTTGAACGCACTAATGCCTCTTAGTATGAGCATTCACCAATGCATATCTTCAATCTGGTCGTTAATAAACGAGGCAAGCGTTGCAGGACCGTTCACGACTGGTTGTTGTGCATTTAAAGCCAATTTTAGCTTAGTACCGTGCCATCCGAAAATCCAATTAAGAAATAACAGAGTCACTCATTCTTCAGTCGTGTAGTGCAGGTCATGAACTGGTACTGACGTAGCCTCAAGTTAGATCCAGAAACCCCCTCACTAGTAGCAAAAAGTACAGTTACTCTAACCTTAAACAAAGCGTCGCCTGTTTTTGGTGGGCTTCACTCCCGAGAAGGCAACACTCAAAAGGCCAAGCAACTTGATGGAAAATGTGGTTGAATCCTGAATGTTATCACGCCTTGAACACCCAGGCGTGTGAGTAAAGATTTCGTAAGTAGCTTAGATGTTATAGACAGGGTCCAGAACTAAAAGATCAAAGAAATTATGTATATTAATACCTTTTCGCTCTGCTTGAAATACTGACCATAGTGGGTTACACTGAAAACTTAACATCGTCAAACGGGAATCTGAGTGATCCGGTGATGTATTCAAATTTAATACCAATGCTCGTTTTCTACCAAACTGTCGGAGACACCATGTTGCAGATTCTTTGGTAGTCCCTCCCTCTAGTACAAATTATATGGTCTTCAGTGCCAAGACCTTGGAAAAAGGATCATGCCCAAAGTGACATTTTTCATCGAGACAGAGCACTGAACCTCTGACGATATGAACCTATTAGCGCGCGGAGTGCCGTTCATGTACCGCAGTCTGTGATAAGGTTGGTCAATGTTGGTTGATATGCCTAGATGAACCGGTTATCGGTCACTACATGCTTGCTGTCCACTCAGGCGCACAACAACAGATTTTGGCGAAATTTCTGCCACCGAATTTCAAAAGCAGGTGATTTCTTATCAGTTTTGTTCAAATACCAACAAGGTATAACAAATTAGAACATATCTCAACGAACCCGAAACCCGAATACTGGTTATTTATGGCGTGCTCTTTATTAATACCACTAGCCAACCAAATATAGTCGAACAAATCAAAGGTTCTGGATTTTGTACTAGATTGGAATTTATGTTCAGACGGAGGAATTTCGGTGACACTAAAGACTGAACCGTAAAACATCTATCAACTATTTTCAATTTCAAATCTGTCTGCTACTTCCAGCTGAAGCGTAAAATTTAACGGCTGTTTTCAAGTTTTCTTCGATATCCGAAAAATTAGGAATCCCATAAACTGTGGGAGAAAAAAACACCCTCACAGTGATTTTTTGGTTTAAGTCTGCTGCTAGTGAGTTACGTTCAACGTCGCATTGCTTTTTATGCCCGTTTTGAGCGAGTTAATGCACTCTTTTGGTTTGTGAATGTTTTGAACTTTTCTGCATAACATATTGTTTGATTTTTCTATTGAAAAGGGGTATTCCCTTACTTTTTGACTTGGGGCTACTCCTCAGCAAACACAAATTGTCCTGTATACTTGAACTTTCCAAGAGTCGGCCAGACTTGTTATGTGGAAATCAGTCTACACTCTTACTTGGTCAGCATTAAGCCCTGCTTTGAGATGAAGCTATTTATCAGCAGTCAGAATGTCTGGGATTTGATACAGTCGCAGACTCGGAGTAAGAAATTCATTTAAAACTCATGCACACAACTAATCGTTATTCGAGTAACTCACGGATCGGGCTCCGGTTCTTCCGTCTTGTTCTGTTGGATGAGTCGACCGAGGTAGAGTTTACGTCGTTCATCAAAACGCATATCCCATCGTCTGGTCAAACGGAGTACGTCGCTGCGCATCGGAAGGAGGTGGGCGACTTCGGCTGGACAGCAGAAAACAACAAAAAATCGGAGTAAGTCTTTCGCAGTTATGCAAGCATGCTGAAAGCGGACCATTTTGCTGGATTGACTTACCATCAGACTGCAAAGACAGGAAAATGATGAAGTTTGGTGCAGTACAATGCATACCATTAAGCGTCTTTTGATCTTGATGGTCTTTTATTAGTTAGTGAATCTTTTTCAACTAAAACGCCAAACGGCACATGTTCCGTAAACTTGAAGAGATCAGTCAAATTAGTCAGCTCGGAATAATGGAAAGAGCAAGGTGTGGTCGTAAGGACTGGAGCCTGGAACCAGAAATTAGCCTGGTGTTTTGTCGCACCTAACGTGACTGGGTCGGTCTGACATGGAATCTCAACAGAATGTGTTGTCAAAGGCTCAAGGGAAGACAATGAACAAAATAGTCAGTTAATTTGCGCCCACCGTATTCTGGTGGATTACTGGTAACACGCTCGTCTAGTACGTCGGATGTCCAGGGTCCAAACCCGTATACGGTTAAATTTATCCATACTGCTTTGATCCAATGAGAGCGAAACTCGAGCCGGTTGTTTCTTTCTCTTTATGTAGATTCACCAGGGTAACTGCATTGGGACAGCAAGAGGACTGTTTAAACGAGCGTAAAATGAATGTGAATTCTCCAGACCTCAGAACCACCAAAGAACCACAAGGTGTTTGAAGGATTCTTGCACTCCAAAAGTCCTTTTTTATACTCCCCCCGCTTTGACTTGAAAGTTTGCAGTTCTAAAGGACTAGTCTCAACATTGAAAGATAACTGCCAAATAAAAACAGCAGTCAACGCAGTCGAATACGGTCAGTTTCCAGCGCCAGTTTTACCACCTGCAAGAATCATTCTAGCAAACGGACTTTGTACCAGGTGCTCGTCAGCCGTCATTCCACAGTAAACTAAATTCTGTTTCCAAAAGCGAATAAATTCCCCACGACTCAGCACCTCATCTGTGTAGAGTCTTACTATGGTTTTCCCGCAAGCCATAATCCTGATAAAAAGGCACTTCATACTCTTCTCTCAAATCATCCCTTGTTAGAAAAAAGAACGTTGAAAAGGAAAGAAAACGTGATTCTTCCTCGTTTGTCTGCATATCCACGTGTGCAGAAACATCGAAGTGCATTTTAGGAAACACGTCCATTCAACTTTGTTAAGAAAAATCGAAGAAGGAGGACATTCATAAGCTGTCCCACTCGATGAACAAAAGACTGCAATAACTATGGCCTACCCCGTCCAGCCGGTTTTTTCGATAAGGTTATACCTGATAACGTGTCTCGGTAGGTAAGGATATGTACAAATCACAATCTACGTGTCGCCAGAATGTCAAAACCTTCACAGATCCCAACAAATTCCCGTAATCGATGATCAGAACCCTCAGAAATCTCATAACAGATTACTTATAAAAACTTCGTTAGTTTCCAAACAGCAAACAAGATAACAGTACTCGGTCTACGCGGAACGTCTTCAGAACGGCCTAAGGACAGATTGTTTTGCAAGGATTCAGAATTAAGAAGCTCAAGACGACTTATCTAATACACAGAAAACCTGTTGACCTGTTTTCATCCGCGTACAAACACAAACAAATCACGCATTTTCGATGTAGGTTGAAGAGAATGAAAACAGCACTCATTTTCATTACCAAGACACTTCAAGTTATGTCTTCTCGTAAATAACAGCCTCATTTTGCTTCGATATTTTCAACACGATAATTCAACCAGTTGACTTGTGCCAACAGTCTGTCCCGATTTCGCTCTACGCAGTCCTCGCAGGCACAGTCTTTTTCCTACAACATCCAGCTCATTCCTAGTGGTGCTTTTTCCTTGGCGATCATTTACATATCCATTCACCAGAGGACTGGGTTTAATCATGAATTCACAAAAACTGGTAAACCATTTCAAATGCACACAACTTTTTTCCAAGACAACCTGAAGACAACACACGGCGTAGATTTGGCTCCTTTTTTTCCTCATACACTGTATAACTTTTGTATTCAAGCCCTTTGAGACCGGGATTGTGAAAAGTGACAGCAAAACGATTGTCTGTCTCTGAGTGAGTAGCATTCGCTTTGCCCACACTCAGGTGATAAATGTGTGACCGGGTGAACTGATGATATCCACATAACTGTTTACGAAAATTCCTCGAGCAACTTGCCACGCTAGGCGAACCCACCAATGGGCAACTGGTCTACAACCAGCTGACACTCATGAACTACTAATATTTCCGTGTATTAAAAACTCCTGTAGGACAATCCACTCAATCTCGGTTTTCTCGTTTCACTGGTGTTGGAATCAAGGATAACGAACGGCAAATAAGTTTACCAGGGAAGGTTATTCCAAAACTTAACAGCGTTGATGCCACTTACATCGTACTTGGTTCATGAATGGAATCATCAAAGTTCCGGAACGCCCAACACGTCGTGATATGCATTTCGTCCCCTGACAAGGCATGGTTTCTTCAAGAACTGGGCAGTGACGTCCTCCGTTCACCGCAGGGTGGGTAACACGCCTTCGTCGAATACGAACTCCAGCGCCACACTGGTGGTTGCACTCGCTCCATGGTCCCCAATTGCTAACGGTGCAGTCGATCGCTATGGAAAATAAGTGAAAATCCATTAAAAACCTGTGGAACAGCGACAACCAGTTGATATGCACGTAAGTATCACTTAAATTTGTTTATCTTGAATTGTAAGTGAAATATACAGCCCACGTTCAAACGTTTGTTAGAGCCGTAAGACATGAGAGCATCCGAGGTATATAATGACAGTTTTCCCTCGAGGAATGCTGCGACCTTCGGGACTCAAGATTATGTGAGCAAAGTTCAAAGAAAATAAGATGATTCAATCCAAGATCACCAGCGTTGTTAACGAAACTTCTAGATTTTCATCTGAAACAAGCATATTTTCACTAGTTTCTGTTCAGATATATGACTCTGCAGTTAGATCTCGGCTGCTCTGTTTTCAGCTCAGATTGCCAGTTGAGAATGTGGACTCACTGTTGCTGAAAATAAATGATAACCTGTGCACCTACAATCCAGTTGGATTCGTTCTGATAATTACGAGAAAAACTTGACGTTTCTTGCGGTTCATTAGTGGTTTTATGGAACATGTTAATCCTGAATAAAGTGCGGACACACTTCTGTAGCCTACTGCCACAAAAAGGACAACTTGGCAACTTTTTCCGCCGAATACCTGTCATTCCGTCTCAGCCTTAAAATTAAAGGTCAAATGATAACCGTTTTGTGGTCAAGCTTCTGATGATGCGGATGAATTACAGTAGGTCAAGCAAGCTTTTTAATCCACTAAGTTTTGGATATTAAGTGGATTTTTATGAAAGCAAGCTCGACCATACGCCGAGTGTTATTTCACATCAAGACGGTTGTGCAATCGAAAACACATCTGATGGATCTAATTTACATAAAATATCAGTTTAGCGTGCGGTCAAACGTAGCTGTGCACCAAGCCAAAAATACATATTTAATTTGCATTCGAAACCACCCAAAAAGCTTAGCTGATCTCACGCATACGTCATTAGGTTTCTGTGGATTCACTTCCAAAAGAGGCCTTCATTATTCATAAAATGAATCAACCGAGGACATCTATTAAAAATTCCAGTGAACTTGGGCTCAGCCAAAGATGCAGAGTGCTTACAACCAACTGAATCTTTGTGTTAGGTCCATACAAACCTCGGGAAGGGGGAACTTAATTATCCGGCCAGGGAGGTTTTTGTATAAGATATATAAATAGCTAGCTTCCGAATAGGATTTATTGGTTAACGGTAGTCAAAACGAATGAAGCATGCACATAGTGAAACGTCACAGATAACTTGTGCGAGCTCTTGGCGCCCGGTTGAATAAAATCTGTAGGGGGCAAACGTGCAAGGCTTGTTTCAAGTCATTGGCCTTTCTAAACATGAAGGAACAACAGTGGATACTTGCATTAGTTGCCTGTTTATCAATGAGATACCAGCGGCATCTGTAAACTCCTTTATATTCCAGTAAAGTACCGTGCCTCCCAGTACAGCACTACGCAAAGGTTGTCAGAAGCAGTCCGTTAATCCACGTTCAAGACAGCATAGGATGCAATGGCGATTAATGATATGGTCATCGTTAGAGAAGCAGTCAATGTAAAATATGCATGCGTGTTTCAACAAAATTACTCAAATGGTATATACGCCTACGTAAGTTTTAAATCCCNCGCAAAGGTTGTCAGAAGCAGTCCGTTAATCCACGTTCAAGACAGCATAGGATGCAATGGCGATTAATGATATGGTCATCGTTAGAGAAGCAGTCAATGTAAAATATGCATGCGTGTTTCAACAAAATTACTCAAATGTTATATACGCCTACGTAAGTTTTAAATCCCAGGGTTTATCATCAAAGTTTAGTTTTTGATACCACTTGTTCATGCATTTGGATTTCTCAAAGAAACGAATGATGTGGGGGGGGGGCTTGAAGATTTCAGCTTCTTATTCACTTGCTTTAATATAGTCAAGTCCAAATGAGTAGTATTCAACGGGATAGCAAGCAATCGAGTTTTTTGCTAAGGCTTGACCGTAATACTGAACTTTTTCGTTGCTTTGGAACCGCATCAATCAATAATTTTATGCTCGGCTGATACTCGAACAGTAGACTTTGGTTCTGAAAAGGCTTAACAAATATGTAACAGCCTTTCGATGCCCGAATGAAGATGACAGATAAGGTTTGGTTTAATGAAACAACCTCCCATGTAGTATCGCAAATCTCCCATTGCTGCAGTCTCACAGCCGTACTGAATAACCACACCCCAAGATGAAAAGCAAAGTAGATGGAAAATCAAATTTCCCGAATTCGCGTAGCCGTCCCAAGCAGTCAAGGACAAATTCGTACTCAACAGAATGAAGTATTATCTCGAAAAATAATGTCGATTGTGTGCTGTAATTCTAACCAGCTCGCTCTAAAGACCCGAAAAGCATTCTATAGCTGTTTCATTCTTATTGGAACTCGTCGCCAGAGAGTTTCTTAGCCACAGCGACCTGGCTATCTATAGCTGTTTCATTCTTATTGGAACTCATCGCCAGTGCAGACCCAAGAGAGTTCCTTAGCCACAGCCACCTGGCTCTTAGGTTGAACATTAACCAACGGGCGGCTGACTGGCAGTTCAATTAGCTCTTTCTTAGACAGGACACTGACTGTTCGAATAAAGAATTCCGAAACAACTTCACAGGCTACTGGTCGGGAGACCACGGGTTCAAAACACCCTACTGGAGTTTCGTGAGGTGCGCAATTTCGATAATTCCCAAAAAGGATGAAACAGCTTCCGGGCTCTTCATCATAGAGATCGCCTTTATTCACAAGACGAAATCTCCACTAATAATCAGACGGTTTTGGGGAAGTCGACTTGGCTACTTATGAATAACCAGGAAGAGCCAACACTAACTGCTACTGAAGTTAATACGTCTATGATTATGACAGGAGAATCATATTGATTATGCACGCTGTGAATAAATGAGTTTTCAAGAGCTATATGCATATATCAGCCAAGTAAAACACTGAGACGTAACATGGGTGTCAGTTCTGACAAAAAACGATTCGCACTGGCCAGTGCGTCCGTACTTGGCGTGTTAAACACCTCTATCCACATTCAGATATGTAGCCCTGGTTAAATGCAGACAGCTTGATGTACAGCCAGATTGGAAAGAAAATCCTCGTAAGTTACCCTAGTTTTATGGATGACAGTCAGTTAGATTCTGAGAACTTCGAACGATAATGAAGCTATCGGAAATACCGAATAACTTGTGTCAGAAACTAAAAGTTAAGCAAGGATAACTCGCGTTTTTGCAATAGACCTCTGTCGAGTAGATTGTTTGAAGTGCCTGCGAAGTGAGTCTTCGTCTCAAAAATCCTAGGACGGAGAAGCAATCAGGAAGGAAAATGTTAGATGTCAGTATTGACTGGACACTTGGCTTGAAGGGGTGACCTGCTTTAGACTCTCATTTGATGTGTGGCTGATCAACCGTATCAAGAACTGAAAAGTGCGTGGATTCCCCTACTGGAATAAAGTCTTTGATAGGCGGCATCGTTGGCGAAAGAGGACTACAAGGTTAGTAAATCCCTTGAGCACAGGAGAATACGGTTTACATTTATGATGCCTCGCGGTCCTGTTTTTCAGCGTTAGTGGCTTTTGCATATTTTCATCGGACCCCAGAAAGAACTGGTAACATGAAAATTATCCCACCGACAGATTTTCACTTAAACTCGCTTGAGCGACTGAGTTTCTAATGAAAGACGCTAAATAGGTTGGCCCTGGTTTGTAGGACTTTTGACGACCTGGTATCGGGCTAGAAATGGACAAAATCAATTTGTTTACTGGTATCTCACACTTTGTACCACAAATAATGACATAGAAGTAAGTGTCTCATCGTTAGATCACCTAAGCAAACTGTCTGATCCAATCTGATGGCAATATACCATTAAATGTAAGATATTTAATAAAAGAAGACAATAAGCGAACAATGTTTCAAAATATGATGGCTTTTCTCAGAAAACTGGGTGCTCGCCTCGTGCAATTGCTTGAACGCAACGAAAGTTCACCGGAACGTAAGCCGATCATTGTACTAAAGAGTTTTAGAAAGCTTTCCTCCAAGGTCCCTTGTTCCCTCCGTGTCCAAGTTAAGCGCAAACAAGTATTGTTTACATTTGTACGAATTGTTTGTGTCCATAGGACTTCATAAACACGGGAGACCTACGCAGTTTTATGAACGACAACTCGGCCACGTAGTTGGCAACTGGGACACAGGCATACATTTAAGCACTCATTACTTCGGCGCACGTTTTACTCGTTTTTTTTGCAATCAGGTCCACAGCCTCAATTCGCACACGTTAGTATGAAATCAAAAAGTTCAAATATTATTCGTATTTACACAAAAGCGTTTTGTTGTATATACTACATTACATTAATATTAGTAATACTTGACTTCAAATATTCTATATTTTTACCAAATGATTGCTGGAATTTATCCACATTTGCAGGAATTTTTGAAGTGGTCTATCAGTATGTTCTCTATTACTGAGTAGTCTTGTTCAGATGAGGAATCCAAAGTGCACCAACAAGGAACAGGCTTTATTGTTTCCTACCCAGTGAGCTTGTGAAAAAGTTTTCACTGATGCGCTACTCATATGGTTACTGAAAATTCTTCGACAGTCACGAAACCCGATCGGGGCTGTCGAAGAATTTTCAGCAACCTTATGAGTAGTGCTACACGTATCCTGATACCTCCAATATCGAAGCGACTGAAACATGAGGCGGCCTGGAAAGATCACAAACGAGCAATTCAGCTGGGTCCGGAGTGTCTCCTTCAAAACCAAATTTGTTTGCAAATGAGTGTATTTCGCTAAGCTTTCTCCGAATTTGGGCGATGATTGGTGAAGCAATGTTTATTCCAGTTCTCTTCAGAACCGATGAACGCAGCACTGGCATTGATAGCTGTGTTCTACAAAGAGTGTGGAAATCGTGTGCGTATCGCTCTCGTTTAGTTTACTGTTTCTGTGAAAATATGTCACATGAAATGAAGCGAACTTTTCGGAACAGGTGTCTTCCGTTCTGATCATTTT